CGAATGGGTCAACCACCCTAGGCAGGGCCGGTCTTAGGCCACTGCAACCTATGCGGCCGCAGTGAGCCCCGCACTTTCATAGGCCCCGCGCTAATGCTAGCTGTATATTATTAAATTAAACCATTACAACTTATATTACAGGCTTTCCCTACGCCTCCTTGTTTTCCACGGGCTCATGGAAATCTCCTGAAAATTATATAAAAAAATTGTCATATTGGGGTGTCATACAATTACTTGAGGTTAACAATTCATGATGATAGATTGAACAATTTGGCTATTCTTTGCCTTTGTTATTGAGCGTGATCTATGTAGGAAGCAGAATTTTGATGATATACTGTATGACTTCGCTAAACGCAAGGCTCGTCAAGTAATTGGATCGTGATATTGTACATAGTAAAGAATGAATACAAATACAAAGAAGAATTAATTTTCTAATACAAAATCTTAGTTTTCACTTTATTATCCTTGTCACTACCCAGACTGGACCCTGCGTAATCCGTTTCGCATAGGGCCCGGCAATCGTTAGGACCGGCCCTGGCCCAAGGCCCTGTACCTGAGGAAGCATGTGGTAGGAGATTCCCCTTCACATTCAGAAACAAGACTAATTCAAATAAGTGCTAATTTTTTCCTAGTGCCATCCTAGCTTGGAACGGGTTTGCCCGCAAAAAAATATCTTAGTAGATTTAAGTTTCTAATCATCATTTATACAAGAGGACGCCAAGGCTCGTCTCCCTTGAAGCAACGTCTTTAATTTATAAGATAAAAACAAGATTGAAAAACAAACTTTCAAATAAATAATGATTTGTCTATCACTGTGAGGAGCTTAGTCAAGATGTGTCTTTTTAAGTTAAAACATAGACTGTTTTATTTAAACCAAGTACATTAAAATATATTAGCTTCCAGGAACAAACGGGGGGGGGGGGGGGGGGGGGGGGGGGAAATTCCTGATTTGATCTTCGCTCAAATCAACCGAAAGATTGCAAAGAAAATAAACCCATAAAAACATAATAACACTTGTAACTCTAGATCATGATTATCGGCAGAACTTTTTTTTTCTTGTTAGATGCCAAAGAAAAAAAATTAATATCTTCCCTTGTTTTTAAAGTAAGGAAATAAAGAAGAAAAAACAATAAATAAAAATTAATTATAACTAACTCTTGTTACAGCTTCAAAAGCAAGGAACCGTTATCGCCTAGGGGTGTAAATGTTTTTTGTTTTTTTTTAAATATCAAAATCTTTGTTTTAAATGCCAGGTATTTTTTTTCTATAGATTGTATTCACTAATTCAGAGTATTTTAAAAATATTAGCTGATTAGATTTATAATATAAAAATATTTATGAGAAACGTTGATTAAACACAGAAATACCTAGATTAAATATAAATTTTAGCTTAAATAAGTACGCCTATCAAAACCTGTGAACTATGGAGGCGAATTATGTAATTATGCTTATAAGATCTCTATTTTTGTCAATATGATTATACTAGCCGGATATGACACGTGGCCTGTGGGCCTCGTTTAGGTATTAATGATGTAGTGGATTTAGATCTGTCAGACTTGGAGAATTTTCTTTTTTCTTTTCATATATATATATATATATAATTTTGCCATGAAAATAAAAATTTAGTGTGGAAATGGGTTTACCCGTTTAGCAACATATATCAATTGTAAAATACTGGTTTACCCAATCAATTTGTTAAAAAGTTTCATTCTTAGTAAAGATAAATTAAGATATTTTGTTATTTTTAGGGCCCCAGGGCTGTGGAAGAGACATTTATACATACACCACGGTCTTTTCCATGATTTAAGGAACATTTTTATCAAGATCGGTCAAACAGTTATTTCTATGCGAGACATACATACACACACCTTACATTTGAATATATTTATTAGATGAAAAGTGGCTGATTATTAAATAAATGCGTGAAACTCTTTAACAGAAAATAGTAGATTTTAAGAGTTCAAAACAGACGTTTTTTTCTTTATAGTAATTGCACTAGGTAAATGTAATAATTGTACACAATTTCAGCCTGATCTGAGGTTGGGTGTAGGATAAATAACTTGTTCAAGCTTTTTACCAGACAGAGTGAGTTGATATATATGTTTTGTAAAAAAAAATAAATTACGTTTTGGAGAGAAGCGAAAGGAAGTATATTAATCATTATGTATAAATATATTTAACACATATAAGCATGATTATGTTTCGGTTACAGACCCTTGCTTGTAATTTTATATTACTACACCGCTGATTATATTACGTCGTAACTCTAGCTGGATTTACATAATGTCTATAATACTATTCAATTCAGCCAAGTAATTACATAGTATAAGTACATACATACTGTATGTATGTTCTGTGGAACACACTTTCTAGTAATTGATTAAGTAGGGTACTGTCACAACCGCTAGGGAATCTCATTGACAACTGATCGCTTTCGTGACAGGACGAATACATTTTTCCCCCTACCAGTTCGTGAGTCTCAATTGTCAGCAAATTCAAGAAATGCTCGCTCCAAACACGCATTCTATTAACTCGTGTGCCCGTGAAGTGGGGGCCACTCTAAGCGCCCTCCCCACTATCTCATCTTAACGCCCTGTGTAGCTCCTTCTTTCCACCCACCAACTCACCAATCTGTACCCACGCCTGTGTACACGAACCGCTTATAGCAGTAACTATTTTTGTTAACTTTCGAAAAGTTGAGTTGTTTTTTTTCCCTTTTCACATTGACTTCGATTTTAATGTTATTAAGTTTGGGTTTTAAACACTTAGAATCTAGACTCTGAGATTTCCATCCATGGCGAAAAAAAATAAATTATAAATACGTTTTTGGTGTATCCGGTGTACATATTATTTTATAAACTACAGGCGTTACTTCAAAACAGAAGTTTAGAGGGCATATTTAAAAGCTATTTAAATTTTTAAAGAGATTTGTGAGCCGAAATGTATTACTTATTAGCACTGCAGAATCAAACTTTATAAACTCATCCATTTGTATCTTTAAATATTTTTTTTTGGCCGAAGGATTGCCAGCTCAAAAACCGTTTTATAAAAGAAGAGTCTAGAAAAACATTTTCCGGGAGGAGAGGGTCGTTGAAACGGAGGGGATGATGGGAGATTTAAACTGGAGACTTCTTGGTTAGGAAGTCAAACGACTTGACCACCATACTTTAAAATGCGTGAATAGATCAGACTTGACCACTGGATTATGTCAATCAATACATTCTATAAGCGTAAGAGTACATGCCACTAAAATATGACATTCAGTATTTTAAAAATGAGGTGTTTCATAGTTGGCGGATTTAATAAAAAGATCTTTAATATGAGAATGTTTACAGTAGCTCACTTTTTCAACTCAAACAGGGAAGCGTTTAATTTGTAAGTTTTTTTTTTATATCTGTTTACATTTCAGTAATTTAAATCAGTTAATTTTTTTTTATCATATTTAGATACTATTCAACTGTATAATGCATATTATTACTATAATTGGTAGCTATCTGTTGGCACTAGCTGGCAGATTTCCTTTTTGAATGAAAAAAAACAACAAATTTTTGCGCATGTATACCTGCCCATACATCACATATAAAAAGTTATATAATTTTGAACTCAGATAATATTTTCTTTTTTTTATTTTGTTACATGTGAGCAAATGGCTTATGTTTTTAATTATGTACTTTAGTGTCATATTCAGTTGTTATAACAATGAAATATTTTGTATTCAATATTTCTTGTTGCGTTTTCTCAACTGAGTGGATTTGACGACTGTGATATTGTAAATGATAAGATAACTCTGAAACTACTGGTCAGGTTCAAACTTTAACTACATCTTTAGAGCACATTTATCTACAGTGTCAAAGAAGGAACTTCTTTAATTTTAAAAAACAAAAAAGATATGGGATGAAAATATTGAAAATATTATTAATAATTGTTTGTTCATAATTAAAAAAAACAAAAAAAATCACAAAAGATGTATTTCTCAATCTATTTCAATTTCATTCTCCCACATTGTAAAGTGTGTATTTAGAACATTATTAGCAAGTTTAATGTAATTCCATCAGACGGTTTTGTAGAAAAAAATACTTTTATTAACTCCTTCAAAATGTGTTATTTTGGTACTATTTTTAGCATCAAAAGCAAAAAAAAAAAAATGTTTTTTTCTCAAATATGATGTTCCATACTAAATTTCATTAGCTAATCTATCTATTAAAAAATAATAAAATGTTAACTAAACAAGTAGTGAAGAAAGTTGCATTTTGACTACGTGTCTCCACTTAATACGGTTAATCGTACATCTGTTAATCGGTCGAAGCGCTTTTTCGGACGGAGTCCTAAAGTAGTGAAACAAATTCAATTATACAGATAGTGTGGGCGTGTCCGTGTTTTATAATGTAACTATCAAAGATAGGAGGGCGGTAATTTAAACGATAATTTAACTCTGACACACGATGAAATCTAACAAAAAAAAAATATTTGCTTATACTAATTGTGTTCGATATTAGACCTTAAAGATTAGGTCTTCATCACCCCTCGCTTCAAAAAGAAAAAAAAACAACAACAAACAAACACAAAGAACAAATAATCTGCTAACCTGAGACAGGTAATGTTTTCTGAAGGTATTCCTTGACATCGTGAAGGTCAAGGTCTTCTGATCTTTTCCCCCAGCTGGAAAAACCTGTACTGCTCCAACTGGGTCGTTTCGCGCCTAGATTTGCCCACCTCCATTTTCGTGTGTGTCGTATTGTCTGTTTTCCGTTATTGTCCACACCTCGTTTGCCCCACACGGACATCTGCTTCCATTTTTTCTCTAATTCAGGATCAAAGTCTCTTTTGCCCCAAACAGACATTTCTTTCCATTTCTTCTCTAATTCAGGATTAAAGTTTCTTTTGCCCCAAACTGCCATTTCTTTCCATTTCTTCTCTAGTTCAGGGTCAAAGTCTCTTTTGCCCCAAACAGACATTTCTTTCCATTTCTTCTCTAGTTCAGGGTCAAAGTCTCTTTTGCCCCAAACAGACATTTCTTTCCATTTTTTGTCTAATTCAGGATAAAAATCCCTTTTGCCCCAAACAGCCATCTCTTTCCATTTCTTCTCTAATTCGGGATCTGAACTACGCTTGCCCCAAACAGCCATTTGTTTCCACCTCTTCTCTAGTTCAGGATCGACATTTCTTTTGCCCCAAACAGACATTTGTTTCCACTTCTTATCCAGCTCTGGGTTAGCACCACTCATTTGAGAACCCTCCCACACAATTCCTGGGTACAAATAATCCATGTCCTGGTGATTGGATAACAAATCTGCTTCTCTTTTGCCCCAAACGGACATTTCTTTCCACCTCTTGCTCAAGGCATCATCGTCCTGAGACCTTTTACCCCAAGAACGAAACTGGGACCAGTGCCTTTTCTCGTTTGGCTGGTCGCCCACATTTTCAGCTGACGCCGAAGTTGATGACGGATCTTCGACTGCTTCGTTGAGCTGAAGAGTTCTGTCGGCTAGCGCCGTGTCTTGTAACAAGCAGATGAGAATGACGTGGCACAATGTCAATGCAAGTGTCATAGTCCGCGTGGCTGCCATTGTCCAGGAAAAATGCATCTCAGGCTCTTTTTGATTACCTGTTAGAAATACATTATAAGAATGTTAATAAGAGTGGAATATACAGGAGTTATTTTAAAAATCACCACAAAACGTAGATTATTAGAAAACTATTCAACAAATGGCAGCTTAGTTTAATCTAATTTGTGTTATGATTACAGTGTATTTTTAGACAACTAGCCGGGCTATAGAGTATTACTTATCTAGTCCATGGATTTAGATTTTTGTCAAACATTTTTCCACGAAAAAAAAGTAGATTGTGAAAATGGGTTTACCCGTTTAGCCGACATATTCATTTCTAATATATAGTACTGCGAAAATGGGTTTACCAGATTTGTTAAAAAGTTAAAGCAAAGTACTAAAGTTCCCCTTTCAGACCTTGCGATCTATAGGGTAGATGATGTAAAGGTCATCTGGTTCTGTGGCCTACAGTTAATGAGGGTGCCATGTGGCTAGCACAACGACCAACCGCCTTTACTTTTCCCTGACTAATGTCAGGTACCCTGGGTGGACTCAGAGGCGCCCAAGGATCTCGAAATTAAAAATCCTAGTCTTCACCAGGATTCAAACCCGGAATCTCAGTTTGGAAGCCAAGCGCTTTAACCGCTAAGCCACCGCACTGAGGTTAAAAAAGTTTCGTTCCTGAAAAGAGATGAATTTCGTTTTATTTTTAAATTTTAAGGCCTTCCGGATTTGGGAGCGACATCAAACGTACACACTATCTCCGCCATGATCTAAGGAACATGTATGCCAAGTTTTATCAAGATTGGTCAAACGTTTCTAGGCGGGACATACATACATACATACATACATACATACATACATACATACATACATACATACATACATACTTACATACAAACATACATACATACATACATACATACATACATACATACATACATACATACATACATACATACATACATACATACATACATACTTCAATAATGTAACCATGTTCATTAGAGTGTAATTATTTCGTAATTTTAAAAATTGTACATCTCTACACCTACATAGCCGAGAGTTAAATAAGACAATTTAGAGTTTAGAGCAAGTATCCGATATGTTTCAAAAGTACTATAAAAAAAAAAAGCTAGCTGCCTGGTATTGTTTTATGCTCTTCAGACAGTCGAGAAGAAGATGCCGAGTTTGAACCCTCATCCCCTGACGTCCTCATAGATGGTCGAGAAAGTAGTAGGCTTCATTTCTAAAAGAAGGTCGGAAAGTTCAAACTAGGGGTGCACCGGATAGTAGCTCCGGCTCCGGCAGAATATCATATTTTACTATCCGGTTATATCCGGCCGAATATCAAAAAGTGCAATCCGGTGCACGCCTAGTTCAAACACAAACTAAACTACTACAAAGATAGACAAGCGAAAAGAGAAAATAAGGTTTATAATAAAGGCACTGCTTAACACAATGGACAGACTACTGCGCAGAGGGGCGCTGTTAAGCAAACTTTATTGTGGACGTCTTGGGGGATAGGTTCTTAAATTAGCAGCAAGCTAACTCTGTGTATGTTTAGTTTGCAAGCGTGAATTTTCAATAACTTTTTTGGATTTGTTTTGTTTCAGTGTCATTCTAGTTTTTTTTACTTCATCTCTACGTCCCCTTTTTATGCCTAGCGCCCCCTACTACCTCTTAGCTCCCAGAGCGCCACAATTTCACGAAATCGCCAACCAGGGGGCGCTAGAGCCCCTTAAAGACCACTAGTCTGTATGGTGTTATCTATTTGAGAACGGTTTTCGTTTGTGTTAAAAAATGTAGGTCAAAACTTGGTTATCGTAAGCATTTGACTAAAAAAAAAAGAATTAAAAAAAAAAGGATAAATATTCATAGGGCTATCAACTTATTTTTTTTCTTATATTTTTGTTATAATATCAGCATGTACGTGACTTTTAAAATAGAAATAATGTCATTCTTTTTAAATAAAACCATATATCTATTAATGGTGAATTACGTAAATGATCATGTATCATTTGAAATGTGACAATATTTCCATTATATCGTCAGACACATGAGATCGAAGATCGGCCTTCACAAGATTGACCAAGACTTAAGTAGTTCAAGTTATCTTAACAATTTACTAAATATTGCTTTTTATGCATAAATTAAACATGTTTTATACTGTTATTTAATTCATTTTATTATAAATCCATTTTAAAATGTAAACAATTTTCAAATTAAAAAAAAAGCCCCCAAAACAGATGTAGAAAGCCCAAAAAGAGGCAAAGGAAGAGATCCGACAAAAAAAGGCAAAGAGAAGAGGCCCTTAAGCCCAAGGATTCCCATGATGAAAAAGCGCAGTGGGAAGCACAAATACTGAGGTATTTAGTTATCGATAGCCGACAGTTTAACAGTGATATGCTAACTTGTTTGTCTTTTGTGTTATTGTAAGTTAAAGTGTAACCAGAATAAAAAACAAAAAAACTCAAAATTAAATTGAAACAAAGATAAAAGGGAAAAAAAAAATGTTCAAGAAATTGTAAAAAATCACCGTCCGAATAAAAAAAAACAACCAACTAATTTCCATAATTAACATAATAAAAAAATGATACTAAAATTGTTGATATGGTGCACAAAGTTGCACTCGTCCAAGATATGTCCCCCGCTATCTCTAGACATCTAGTACTAATTTCCGCATTACGTAAAAACAATGTAAAAAACGTGATTTTCATGAAGTATAATTTATGAATGTTTTGTCACGCAGCACAAGTTTATTTGTGAATTTTTCAGCTTGATAGCATAAAAGGTCACACTATAATATTCAAAGGGAGAAGCCTGTGGGTTGTGCCAGTCAGTCGATAAATATTAAAGCTACTCGTCCTAGAAATAATTGTGTCTTTGCTTCATTATGGGGAGCATGGTCGAGAGGCTTAGTACGCTTAAACTTGGCTTGTCTTGGCTACATATGATAGGGGCTTGAGGTTCGACACCCGACTCGAGCAGAGTTTTGTTTACTGAGCTCCTAAAGGCAGCACAGAAAACCTTCTCCCAGATACCCCCTTCTCTACCCCCACCCCACTGAATCAGGGGCCTTTTTAAATATAATAATTTATACTTTTAAGTTTATTTATATGCTTGTGAGTCTTGGACGCTGACTGTAGAGCTAGAGAGGAGAATACTAGCAATGAAATTGCTACAGAAGGATCCTAGGACTCACATTCAAAGACCGCATCACAAACCAAGAGATTAGAGACAGGGTTACTGCAGCGATTGGATCCCATGATGACCTGCTAACTATCGTAAAAAAAGCTAAAAATTCTATGGCCATATTACAGACAGAAAGCGATGGGAGGACAACATAAAAGAATGGACGGCCTGCCATCGATAGAGGTTCTAAGGCAAAAGACAGAGAAGAATGGAGAAAGACGGTCGATGAATCTTGCATGGTGCCTCAACGGTCCAACAGACTAAGGGTTAGATGAATGATATTAGTGCACCATCTTGAACTTTCGTTTGTTTACATATTTCGTTCTTTAAGAAATGAAAATGACCAAGCCCAAATCTTCCAACTGACAGCCGGGGGTGTCGGCGGTCAAGGTTCGAACCCTGGACCACCAAAACGACCAGACGAACAGGCGTCCCGTTCTGTGTTGTCACGTTCCTACCACCAACTTTCTCTAATTTATAATATAACAATAGTCTTCTCTAATATAGCATCCTTAAAACAAGTGTTCTTTAATATATCGTCATTATAACAAGAGTTTTCTCTATTAAAGAGTCATAACAAGAGTGTGCGCGCTGGCTAGCGTGTCATGTGATATAAATCCAGCTGACAGATGACACAGTACATGTCCAGGGTAAGTAGCCACAAAACGGTGGGCGGGGATATTGGGGTGTAATAATGAGGTAACACTACCTCTCTCTCTTTCTCAAACACATGCACACACTCACACACACACACACACACATACATACAAATGAAAAAAATCCCTACAAGCCCCCTCCTTTTTTTACAACTTTTTTTCCCCATGTGTAAGTCATAAAACAAAACAAAAACAACGTTATGACATTAGGGTCACTAAGGGCAGTGCGTGACCTTCCCAGGTAAGTCTCAGTTCGAATCTGTGTTGAATGCGGAAATTGTTAGCACGAGGTAAGCAAAGAAATGACAAGGAGTTCCAGACCAGTAATCCTTACAAACTTCTTTCAATGTAGAGTTTATGTAAGGGAAAGAACTGCACAGTTACTACCATATCTCAATACTGAAACTTATATTTCTCTCGGTGCAAGATTTATGGACTCGATCGCAATGTTAAACGACTTATTAACAGAGACTATATGAAACTTCTTTCTATTCTTAATAAAAACCGTTGTATTTCTTCCTTTGAAACACTCATTGGCAACTATGTCTATCCACCTGATGCTAGCTAGGTTCCGTAAAGTTGTTAATGCTGGAAGCCCACCATTACCTATAAAATGCTTCCAATTGCACGGGTCTCAAATAGCCTCTTACAACCAGCCTAACTCCTGGCCTTGACGTGTGGTTTAGATATCGAGCCAGGCAGAACCGTTGCCACTGAAGCGGCAAAGGCGAGCAACCAGTAAGCTTCAAGCAGGAGGGGCTCATTAGCCTTGGTTGGCTACCCATCTAGGAGGATGAAAGCTCTGAATTCAAACCTCCGCGGCCTTGCGGTTATACCCAAACACAGAAGGGCCTTCAGGAAATCACCCAGAGGAAAAATCCGGAGCTGGTGACCCTAAAGGCAGATTGTAACACACAGTGCTACAGCCTGACAGGGCTTGCTGCACTACTGATTCCAAAATGTATCGGATATCCCGAGCCTTTGATCACAGCAGCTGCGTGGAGAGAGCCGAACTGCTGTGTGGGCGACATTGTTCCGACCATAAGCAATGTCCAGGCTTTCATCTCGCTCGCTTATGCCATGCCAGTTCTCCCCAACCTCACCCCCCTTTCCCAATAGCATTGCAAAAGCCTACATCCCAATGTGAAGAAACGCCAAATTATTCAATGATACTTCTTGTTCATCCTGTTTTTCCACAGCTGTATTCAAT